TTCATGAATGCCAGGTTATGTAAATGACTATTAATGAGAGAAATGGATAGAGATCTTTTATTTCTATTTAAGTTGTTAAAAGAGAAAAAAAATAAAGTGATTATTTTCTTATATTCTTTTGCTGCAGTAAGGATTGCATATGGTTGCACTTCACTTACAATAGGAAACCCAGGACAGTTTAATACTGGCCTACATGGCTAGAAGATGCTGTAATTCCCAGGTGATTGCCCTTTACTTGTGAGTTGTTAGAAGTGTTCTTGATCCTGAATTCACCAGTATGGGCTGAGCAAAAGGAAAACTTGTGAGCTTGTGAATGCCAGAAAGGAGCTGAAGACATCAATTACTCACCCAGGTATTAGGAGCATTTCCAGGGTACTCACACAGGTTTGCCACATCCATCTTCTGATGGGCCCCATCAGGTTATGAAGCAGTGGAGAGGGCCACCGACTCTATTTCTACACAAGTTTGTATGTTCTCATGACAACTTCTTTGATGAGCTGTGGAGCCCAACCTCAGAGATTTCTAGAGACAACACAGTGTTCTCGAGATTCCCTGTGCAGTCTTAGCTCGATTTGCACCCTGAGAAAAAGACATGCAACTGCTAAGATACTTCTAGCACAATTACTTAAGGTGTTCTAGGATTGGGTCATAGTATGGTGTGTTAGTGTGCTACTGGTGTACATATTAGTGAAAATATTTATTTTAAACCAAGTGCGGCAAATTAATACCAGTATTCATCAGATAATGGTGTTAGTGAAGAACTGGTCACAGTGCAATCATCTCCCACCCTCCCACTGTCGAAGAGGGTTATGTTGTTGATGTTTCTTCTTTGTTTCAGTTGGGTATGTGCCTGGAGTCTAGGGACAGCCCAGGCTTCCCTTCCCCTGCCTACTGATGCTCTGAAAAATAAACTCAAACTATTAAACTCAAACTATTCATTTTCTTGGTTGACATGTTGAGACTGCATTGTTTCTAATAAAAAAATGTTGAAAATGTTCCTGTCAGCAGCTTTCAATTAGAAACAATCAATACTTTCTTTCACGTGGAATTTTGAAATTTAATTCCGTTTCAGAATGAAATTGATCTTGAAATTTCAAGTTTTCCTGTAAACTTGATGTTCTGGTTTTTGAATTTCTAGCTGATATAACACAACATCACTGGAGTCTGGCAATAGATGGTACCATGGTTTCTGAAAGTGGTCTCAGAAAAAGAATAAAGCAGGAGAGTGCCTAAGAGGAAAAACTGTTCAGGTTAATAGCTGCAGTTTGTTTATGTAGTTCTGCATCTTCCCTCATAAAGTTTGCAAATAACTTTTTCAGACCTTATTTGTTCTATTGACATATAGCCTATTATGTTAGTATATACCAACAGTGTGACACATAGAAGTATTGGTAATGGACTGATTTTTACTTCTGGGACCCAATCACCTGACTTGGTCAGAGTTATAAAAAGGTTAACAGCCCTGTTTCAAGGCTGCGGTCAATATTTTCTGGCTCCATTGGCTACTTCATGTTGCACCTTAGGCTGTTTTGGAAAACAAATATATAACCAAAAGTAACCATCACAGACTAATACAGCCAAATGATGATGATAAAAAAACTACACACAGACATACCTAGGATCGGGTTCAAGATGTCTAAGTCATTAACTAACCTCTCAAGATTGTCTGAATAGATGATCACCTTTTCTCAGAACCATCCCTTTCACAATAGCCTGTTAGGCTGCTGAGAAGAACGCATCAGCTCAAACCTGTGTTTGCTGCTCTGGTCTGTTGTCCTTGGCAGTGTCTAGGTGGGTATATGTTATTTCTGTAAGCACATGAATACTGCCAGTAGCATTCTGGCTGTTCTCAGGAAATAGAGAGCCAGTATTCTTGTAGTAGATATATCTCTCTGGCAGCCTTGTGGAAAGAGGGTGGGTGCCGCTTTTGTCTCAGAATCCAAAGCATAGCTAGATATCTGTGGGGGTGCCTTATGGGGGTGGGTGCGTGTAAAAGTAGTCCAAACAAAAAGTAAGTATACTTCCACAGCCCACGGAAGGTGAAGTCCAAGGCCTTTGGGAGGCAAGGGAGAAAAGAAAAACAGAAAATAATGTGCTCTTCTCCTTTCTGAGAGGGCTTGGTCAGCCAAGCCTCTCAGGCTGTTTCCCCAGTCAGCAGCTCCTGCTTCCAGGTTCAGGGATGCCCATGACCTCGGCAGAGCTGCAGATCAAGCTGAGCAACAGAGCTACCAAGCCAAGAACCCTCCTGCTGCCTTGCAGTGCACCAGGCTCCAAAGACTCCCAGCTTGTTTCTGCTCCAGCCTTGCCTGAGCCATGTCCCATATTGTCCTTGCCCTGCACTAGCTTCGTTCCAGCCTTGTCATTGTTAGCATGACAGGGGAGTTGCCACTTAGTTAATATGTCAAAGCTGAAAATTCTTTTTGTGTGTGTGCAGGACGGCCCTTTTTGGGGATTGGGAGGTCAATGGGGCTGATGATTTCTAGGTCATCACAGTCCCACGTGCAAGGCTAGCAGCAGGGAAGGCATGTGGCTTTTTAACCTTCTCCTCCTGTTACCTGCCATGAGGGGCTCCTGTTTACAGGCAGACTGGTTTTCCCCCTCCTCTTTGCCTCTCTCTGTTGCTATTTTCTCAAGTCCTAGCTCTGTGTCTGCAGCCTGCAGAGCAAGTGGAGAGGATCTGGCAACATCAGAGAATGCAGGGACGGGGGGTAGCATTAGACCCCACTTGGCTTAATGGTGCAAATCCCCTTAGAGTGAGGCTTGGTGTGGATGGGAGGTAGACTTCAATTTAATGGAATTTTGATTGGCACCAGCATCCCAACAGGTGCGGTGGAGGACTGGGAGTGAAAGAAGTAATTTCTCTACTGTTCACATAGATAGCTATAAATCAACATTGTGAACATAGATCTTTGTTTACATTTTTTAATTCTTTTTTTAGAATGACAAATAATTAATTTCCCTTCAGTTCTGGGCACTTCAGAAACCTGTAGCCGATGACAAATAAACAAGTAGCATTCCGAAAGAACAGGAACATCAGTGCAAAGAGGAGCAAACTGATGTCAGAAATGCAGTGTGGTTCATAGCGTAGTGTGATTGCTACTAAGATTATTAATCAGTTAGACGTTCAGGTGCACAAGCTATTAGCTATTAACTGGATATTGCACTCCCCTAGCTCTGTGTTTCTCCCCTACACAACCCAGAGGAACACACCTTGTATAGTAAATATGTTACTTCTGTTAAAGAGCAACACTAATGTGCAGGGTCCTGGTACGGAGAGACCTGTGCAGCGGTATGGAGAAACTGAAGAAATTGGGATTGCTCTTAAGAGGAAATAGATATGGAACTTAACCATCTAATGCTTAATTCTGACTCAGAGCATAGACTGCTTTTTCATAGCACTTGTGGTTGTCAGGGTAGTGCTGTGCATGAACAGAGCGAGAGAGAAAGAGGGTAGAGTCTTTTTAATATTGGCTTCTTATGAATGCAACAGGGGAGAACTGTAGAAATTGCACAACAGTACTGAAGCCGTACAGATTTTTCTGCTCTGAAGCAAAAGGCAGCCTAGCGCCAGGCATTGTCAAATAGTAATAATTTTGTTAAAATGGTCAAGTTTGCAGCTTTTTCAATGTAAATGGTATGGAATAGGCATCATTGTCCTCTTGACCTATCAGCAGAAATATGACCATCCTGCAGAAATGATTCTTAGCCAGCTCTCTAGGGGTCTTCCATGGAGAGCGAAAAGCGAGAGCAGGTTTCATTATAATACATCTCACCACCCTCTGCAGAACTTTAATTCTCTAGCCCTAGAGCCAGAGCTACTATGCTTGTTCTTTGCCACCTGGCGACCTACTTTGCATGGAGTTGCACTGATATAATCAATGCTCAACATTGCATTTCATCATCGTGTCTCAGTGCCATCAGGTACTGCTGTAACGTCACAATGAACGAATCACAATGCAACATCAGTATCTCACGTTTCAATTACTTTGTGACTTTCTGCAACTTTCTCTGACACAGTATCTCCTGTCTATTCTTGTCCATTGGCATAGACAAGGAATGATATTGGTGAATCCCATGTGTTTGGCTAAGCCCTTCAGCTACTGCCTCGCGTGTATCAAGCACCATGCGGACTTCTCATGTGGTGGGGGTGCTGCATTTGCTGGTACTCTGATCAAATCCATCATCATGACTTGTATGCAGGGCTTCAAAGAGTTGCAGGTGGCCTTAAAGCCATACATGAAATATCATTGCAGTAGAGTCAGAGGGCCAAATCAACCTTGGCTAATCCATGATGATGCAGATGGCCAGGCCTGCTCCAGCAAGACCTGCTGCACCCCAGCGTGAATTCACACAGGGGAGAATTGGCCGGGTTTCTATTGAAGCCTTCCCTTGGGAGGCTTCTCTGTTGGAGGGGCTCCAATGATGTCCATCTGGTACAGGGCTCAAATATTCTCTGAGTCCTATAGATCGGGGTAGGCAACCTATGGCACATGTGCCGAAGGCGGCACGCGAGCTGATTTTCAGTGGCACTCACACTGTCCGGGTCCTGGCCACCGGTCTGGGGGGCTCTGCATTTTAATTTAATTTTAAATGAAGCTTCTTAAACATTTTAAAAACCTTATTTACTTTACATACAACAATAGTTTAGTTATATATTACAGACTTAGAGAAAGAGACCATCTAAAAACGTTAAAATGTATTACTGGCACGCGAAACCTTAAATTAGAGTGAATAAATGAGGACTCGGCACACCACTTCTGAAAGGTTGCCAACCCCTGCTATAGATGGTCCTTCTGTATCAGGAAGGGGAAATATTGGCAGGGAAGGGAGGGGAAGATTACATTGATGCAGTCCATGCTGAGCCTTTTCTATGGCTCAAAAGGATTTCAGACTTCAGGGTGGTCAATCAAGCACCTTTTACAAGCATCAAATTCAGTTTACAATGGTAAAAAGAAAAAAAAATGTTTAATTTAAACACTTATTTTTATCTTTATTTTCAGGATGAATAAGAGATACTTACAGAAAGCAACAAAAGGAAAACTGCTAATAATAATATTTGTTGTAACACTGTGGGGGAAATTAGCATCTGGGGCAAACCACCACAAAGGTAAGAAATTCTGCTCTATTTGAGTTTATTGTAGAACATGTAACCTCCATCAAAAGACTCAGAATTGTCCAGCTTATTGGCCCCGTGTCACTTTTTCTATGCTGATTTGCTTCTCAAGGTAGCTAGTCCACAAATCAGTGTTGAGAGAAGTTTTCAATGAGCAGGGATATTTTAATTTCTTAAGGATTACTCCCATGTGAATTTAAGTATTCTAATTCAATTGTTGTGAATGTCTGACTTTAGCAACTATTCTGTCATTTTGTTATCTAAGATGGTAAAGTTGAAAAATTGACTAAACACATAAAGAAGCTTCCTTCATAAAAATAGATACATCAGACAGAACGTGTAAGTGCTGTAGATGAGTTCTTGAAATTAACCTCATATAAAAAAACAATCTTCAGTACCATGTATTCTGCTATTGCATGCAAATTATCTGACAAGAGCAACTTCCTGGAGAGTGTGCACTGAACATTATTGTCTATTTCCTCAATAATAATAATAAAGAAAAGCTGGGGGAGACTCCTGTTTTCCAGTTTCCCACTCTCCCTGTGCATGCTAGCACTTGGACACTGGTGTTGTAACAGCATTTCTAGTAACTTTGGCTATATCAGCCTCCTTTCCTCCTGGCAGTTCTAGCCTCTAATCTATATATAGATAAGGCTTGACAGTTCCTGGCAGCTTATAAATATCTCTTCTTTTTTATGGCTGGGCCTCCAATCCAAGGAACGACTTCCCTTTACTTATGAATTAATGTGAGACAACTTCCTGTTCTTTCCATAATCAAATACAACTTTAGAAGCCAACTGCAGCCTTTGCAGTACAATATGATTTTGAAGTTCACATCTCCCCCTGCAGTGTCTGCACATTGGCAATTTGTCTTCTGATTCCAGTTCAGAATAAAGTAGGAAGGCATGAGTAAACTAAGTGTGGGAGATGAGTGTCACTGAGAGGTATGAGTTAAGTAGTAGGGAGTGATATAATAAAGAATATCATTACATTTCTATATTAAAGTTTATTTTATAATAATTTTTGTGTGAAGAGGATTCTATGAGAAAGTATTACCTATATCTAGCAGTCAGGTTTTTGTTTTTTGTTTGTTCTGTGGATATATTTTCCTTCATAATTGATTGAATATTTTAGGATGCAAAGACATTTTCCACCCAATCTCTTTAGTTTTAAATGTAGTTGTGGCCAAAAGAAATTCTGACGTGGTTCAGCAAACCATTGAAGCTGGGGTCATGCCTTGTTGGAGCTCTGTTCAAAACTTCATATGGTTGTGTTAGCTCCTGATTCAGCCAAAATCCAGTTTAAACTGTGCTGAAATGTGATTGTTACTGTTGCTGAAAGATCCTTGTATTAAGTGTCTGTCTTACTTATAAATCAGCTTTATTTTTTATAAAAAACTTTTTCAAAGACCACATTGGGAATTACTGCTGTGTAATTGAGAGGAAATGCTGGCCCACTAAGTTCAACTTTCCAGATATATGCCTACAAATGAGATCGTAACAGGGGCTATTTCTTTTCTGGGCCACACTTGGTATTCTGAATCCCAGACTTAGAGCAGAGAGAACTGGAAAAAAATTGATTTTGATGTTTTTAGTTTACAAATGTGAGGGGGAAGGGGAAAGCCAGGTTATTCTGTGTTCATGTAGCTTAACAAAAGCTTTCTTTTTTACAACTGCAACTTTACAGGCCTTTAGCAAATAATGTGAAGGCGAGGTTTTGAGCTTGTGGGAAAACTAAAAAGAAGAAACATGACTGAAGTATTTCATCTAGCAAATGGTCTACTTTGCATGAAGATTTTTTGGTTGTGCATTTAGTACACATGCAGAGAAGCTACATTGCAAATATATGGGGAGATTTCAAAGGTACAAATAAGAATCAGGCACTCAAGTCCCATTGACTTTCAGTAGAAATTGTGTTCCTAACTTCTCTTTGGGCCTTTGAAAATTGCCCCCGTGGTCTATACTTGGGAGGAGCTTAAGGAGTACCCTAGAAGGACTTCTTAGTTCTTATGTTCTTATGATACCATTCACTTTAGAATACAGTTTCCAAATATGGATTAATACAATCGTTACTTCAGTCATGATTGCCTGTTGCATCATTAATCTTCATTTGAAGAAGTTCCTAATAACATATTGACATGCCAGACCTTAATTACTTTGAAAGAGCCTCTGCAGTCTATTAGATCAATAATCTACATTTTCAAAAAAATCTTTACATTTCTATTGCCTTAGCCATATTAAGGTCCAATTCTTAAACCCATTTATTTTTCTGAAAGCTACTGTAAAACAAAGAAAACATTAATCCACACAAGATGGTTTAAAAAATATTTTGCGGTAAACACTGAATACAGTAGAGTTGTAAACAGCTGATTCTGAGAACTCAACAGTTAGCCTTCTTGCACCTAAGAATTTAAGGGGTATGGCAGACATGAGAAACTCTAATTCAGTACCAAGACAAGGGCACAGGGCAGAGTATCCATGGCCAATTTCTTAGGCACAACTGCCAACCATGTTTCTTGAGCCTGCAGCAGCCAAGGTTAGAACCCAGAATTTCAGACTCCTACTGTTCAGCGCAAGATCAATGATGTTCTATGACCTGCACTCTGTCAAGATGTCCAAATTGACCTGGATTACTGAAATCTGTCTTGAAGACACTGCTGTACCAGTGTTGCCTCAGTTAGTTATTACAGGGTACTTAGCACACTATCCCCTGAGTGAATAAGGTAGAACATGGAGTTATTATGCTCTATGCATCAGACCTCAAGTACAAGACAGGCTCAATTGCAAAAACAAAAGCCACCCCAAACACCCCACCCCCCTTGTGTGCATCCATCAATTGTGTGAATCTAGGGATGACCCCAATATTGACACTCTTCTTATCTACAGACCACCTAACAGGAGTGGGTAGAGTAGCACTTCTGTTATGATCTTTCCTTTCAGAGGGCTGTGGTGCATAGTTTCATCTGGATAGGTCTTGCCTCTGGAGACCTTTACACTTAGTCCTATCCATCATGTTATTCAACATATTTGTAAGCCCCTATGGGTGATCATGAGCTTTAGTGCCTGCAGTAGAAGACAATACCGAGCTCTGAATGCCTACAAACCTCACTGTGTTCAGAACTAAATGCAAAGCTCGCTTTTTGACTTAGCTTTCTCTCACTAAGCTTGTGCTCTCCCTCTCACACATTCGTGTGCACACACACATGCTACCTATTGGGAAGAAAGCGCCTGTGTGCTGGAACCAGGAATATTATTTCTTTTTAAATACTAGGGAGACATTCATACTATGGGGATGAGTGCCTTATCAGAACCTCGACCCACAGGAGGCTGTGAATCAGTACACAGAATTAGATACCCTTTGTGCTGCAAGAGCTACACACGAGAAGGCAAGTAAATAATGGCGTATCAGTCTTAAAAGGACACTGGCAAGGTTACTAGCCTAAAAACTGATATACCTGGAGAGTAGCTCTAACAGGAAGATTTTTATCTAGAGAAATCCGTAAAGGTATTTTATTTTTAAACTGGTACTGATCCTCCTTCCCCTCAGCCTCTGCAGAACAAACAAATGTGCAAATATATAGTGTTCACTGATAGAAATGGCAGGCAGACATCAGTTCAGCATCAGTGACTGCCTGCTATCTCTATCAGAAGGAACATGCACTGATGTGCTGAACATCAAATCACATCCCATTTTTAAGGTTTCAAGCAAGAGGAATGATCATCTTGGAAAAGTATATTGACATGCCCTTGTAGATTCTCTTTTTTAGATAAGACCACTGCTGAAGTACTACCATTTCTAAGCCTAAAATCTAGGCAGCGTCCCCAAAACTAGAATTTTTGGGGGGTTTTGTTTATTTGTGCCATATCCTTAACATTACTCAAGTTTTTGTGTGTGTTGATAAAATATAAATGCCCCAAAGTAATTTCACTAAAGAAATAAAGCATACTTTTGAGATCTGAGTGCAATCTAATGAACCTCCAAGTACAAAAACCAAACTTTCTATTGCATTTTAAATTCTTGGACAAAATGAACAGTTATCCAAAAACATCACTAATAGTAAATGTCTCTGCTTGTCAGAAGAAATTTGTTACGAAATCAAAAAATACTCAAGATAGATAATGAAGTAATGGAGTCTCTTTGGACTTACTAGATGAATCTGAAGTGTTCAATGACTGAGAGACTATTTTATTTGAAAAAAGTAAATAAAATTACTCAGCTCACGCCTATATATTGGATAAAATACAAACAGGTTTTTAATTGATATTTTTTAAAGTATAATCATGCTCCTGATTAACTTTCCCTGTTGTACTAAGATTTAAAGGGAACTTAAATCAGTGTGACAGGTTTCAGAGTGGTAGCCGTGTTAGTCTGAATCAGCAAAAAGAATGAGGCGTACTTGTGGCATCTTAGAGACTAAAAAAATTATTTGGGCATAAGCATTCGTGGGCTAAAACCCACTTCATCGGATGCATGCAGTGGAAAATACAGTAGGAAGATATATATACACAGAGAACATGAAAAAATGGGTGTTGCCATACCAGCTCTAACGAGACTAATCAATTAAGGTGGGATATTATCAGCAGGAGAAAAAAAAACTTTTGTAGTGATAATCAGGATGGCCCATTTCCAACAGTTGACAAGAAGGTGTGAGTAACAGTAGGGAGAAAATTAGCATGGGGAAATAGTTTTACTTTGTGTAATGACCCATCCACTTCCAATCTTTATTCAAGCCCAATTTAATGGTGTCCAGTTTGCAAATTAATTCTAATTCAGCAGTTTCTCGTTGGAGTCTGTTTTTGAAGTTTTTTTGTTGGAGTATTGCGACTTTTACGTCTGTAAGTGAGTGACCAGGGAGGTTGAAGTGTTCTCCGACTGGTTTTTGAATGTTATAATTCTTGACGTCTGATTTGTGTCCATTTATTCTTTTGCGTAGAGACTGTCCGGTTTGGCCAATGTACATAGCAGAGGGGCATTGCTGGCACATGATGGCATAT